AAAATGTTTGGATTATGCATGTAACTATCCATCAAATATTTATTTGTTAACCTACTACAATTTTCTGCAAATCTGAACCAGTTACAGAGAGATTTGTGTGAGCAGATTCACTGCAGCTTTGAAACATTTCATATAATTGATTCTTTTATCTTAGGCAAGGGTAATTTTAAAAATCCTATTTCAAACATATAAAAAACATATTTCACACTTTTTGTCATAAGAATTTTTTTTAATCAATTTAATGCAGATTTTTTTCAAATAGTTTTTTATTTTTGTAATAATCCTTTTTAAAACTTCTTTGTAATCTTAACATTTTAATGATAAACACAAAGCAGTGCATTTAAGTGTAAACCACACAATTTTAGATCCTCCTACTAGATTGGGCTTTGCAATAGAGATACGGGGGGATTTTGAAAGCCTAATAAAACATTCTACACTATCTGTCATAGACTAAATTTATTGAAAGTAGACATTATTTGACAGCATACCTGACTATACTAAATAAGTGGAGATAGTGAAGCTAACTTCACTTCATGTGCTGTCTGACAGCTGTTGTGTGTATTTTTTAGTAACTTGTGTATTTGTTTATAGAGCACATTTATCGAGTTTGAGGGTGGCATGATGCCTCAGTGGATAGCACTGTTGCCTCACAGCAAGAAGGTTGATGGTTCAAGTCCCGACTGGGCTAGTTTTTCTGTTTGGAGTTTACATGTTCTCCCTGTGCTCACGTGGGTTTCCTACGGGTTCTCCGGTTTTCCACACAAGTGCAAAGACAACAAATTTGGCTGTTGTGTATGTGTGTGCATGTGTTAGTATGAATAGATGTTTCCTAGTACTGGGTTGTGGCTAAAACGGCAGACGCTGTAGAAGCATATGTTAAAATAATTGACGGTTCATTCTGCTGTGGTGACCCTTGATATTATTGGAACTAAACTGAAGGAAAATTAATTTCCTTTTTAATTTTAATTAACCACAGAGGGTCAGGGTCTCAGTTTAACATCCCATCCAAAAGACGACAGTATGGTGTCCCTTTACTGGGGCATTAGGACTCACACAGACGGCAGATTGAGCACTCCCTGTTGGTCTCACTAACACCACTTCCAACAGCAAATCAATTTTTCCATGTGGTCTTCCATCCAGGTATTTGCCAGACCCAGCCCTGCTTAGCTTCAGTGAGTAACTGGTGTTCTGCTGATTTGTCCTACCTTCTTCGATTGTCCTACTTCTCGTTCAAAAAGTAGGTAGCACATTTTGATGATGCAATATGCTACTTTTCAGATTTTGCTACCAGTGTAAATTTGAATGTGGAGTACTGTGATATGAAGCTGTAATATCACCCTAACCTACCTAACCCCAACCCCAGAGCAAATACAGTGTTGGTAGCAAAATCTGATGGTTAAGATAAAATGTCAGGACACTAGTCTCGAGCTGCAGAGTGACATGGCTTTAGCCATAAGGGTTGCACTCAGAAAATATTGTATCAACTTTTTTCTTACAAGAACTTATATGTTAAGCGGTTTTGACACAATCTACAATGTAAAAGCGCTATAGATATAAACTTGAATTAAATTGGAAAAAACTGACAAGGCTTTAAAATGCTTGCAGAGAATAAACTTTCATGTTGATGAAAATGTAATGTCATGACTGTGTTTGTCCACCAGATGCCACTGTAGTTCGCCAGCAACCCCCAGTGGACTACAGTGGCTTTAGAACTACATTTCCATACATTCTTTCGCACACACACCCGGTCTCTCATCTACACTGATTTACAACCACAGCTGTCTCCGTTCTCTGTGATTTATCTGGACTATATATTCAGTCATTCATCCTCTGTTTGAGTTGGTCGTTGTCATTGTTGGTATGTTGTTCCTGATCTTGATTTAGCTCTTGCTCTTGTATCTTGTCTTAGTGTTAAAGTCTAGTCCCAGTTTAATCTGTTTGAGTTGCTCGTTTGTTTGTTTATTTTGTTAATTTGTTACTTTGATTTTTGGATTTTGTCACTGTTGCTGCACTTTCACATTAAAGATCTGCACTTGGATTCTACACCCGTTTTTGTTCCTGTTTTAATCCTGAAACGTGACATGTAAATGTCATTTGGGCGCAGTAGGCATGCTAAAACCAAAAAGGTTTTAGTTTTTAAAACTATCTGAGACGTGAGCTGAAAGGCCATAAGATGCCATATTCAATTTATTTTCTTAACTTGTTAAGATCAAATTTTTTATGTAATCTTTTTTAATAAATGTGTTTAATTATTTCAAACTCCATCACTTTTTTTGTAAAGCTAATATTATTATCATGTGTAGATAACTTTGTGTGCGGTGAGGCTATTTGATTCTGATTTCCCACTCTGAGGAGTCTTGTCATTCTGATTAATGCATGACTTTCCTGATGGTCTCAGAATGACTGAATTGTTTTAATTTCTGGGACTTTTCCCAAAAGATGAACAAAGGAACTTAACATGTAGTCTTTGCATTTTGATGATTGACTTTAACATTTTTACCCTTTAATATCAAAATCAAAATAATAAAAATTTTTGCACTTTAAAATGTGTTTGTATGTTTTTTTATACATAAATACATTTTACATAGTTTAACATTTCATTATTGATGCAATTTCTGTGGAAACTATTATTTTTATATTTTATGCTCATTGTGTTTATATAGGGAACATTCCATTATGTCCTTATCATTGTCACATGAGTTGTACAGCCTTATTATATGTAACTCTATACCAGAGGCTTAGTCCTGATTGTCCCCAGTGGGTTACGAAGATAAAATATAGTTGTGTACAGCAGTATCGAAGGCTATTAGAGGAAAGTGGGATGGATAGAGTAGTGTAATGGTGCAGAGGGTGGAGAAGTCAGAACAGAATAGAGGGATGCAAAGCACAGCAGACCGTTGGAGAGTGTGATAAAGGAGTAGAAGGGTTGGTAGAAGAATGCCAGTGGTTTGCCTTCTGTGAGTAAATGAATGATCCTTGAGTTCCTGCAGCTTATAAATCAGCACCCCCTCTCTCTCTTTCTCTCTCTCTCTCTCTCTCTCTCTCTGTATCCCTCTCTTTCTCTACTCCAGTGAGTTATGGTGCGTTCTGGCTGCTGACTCCACTGCATGAGGAACGTTTGCACACAGAGGAAGAAACAGACACACATCGATAACTAATCTTTCTTTATTATTTCTCCTTTGCTGAGGAGAACAAAAGGAGCAATGGAAGAGGTTTGGTTTGCCCCTGTAATAGAAGAAATGTTAATCAAACAAAAATCATGTCAGTAATTACTTGTTTTTTTCTAGTTAAAAGGAACACAATTCATTCATTGATTTAAAGGTCATTAATGGTCCTATGGAGGGTCTCTAAACTTTCAAAAGGAACTTTTTCACAGTTAAAGATCTATTTGTGGAAATTTTGGCATATTGACACCACAGAAACGAGGGGAAAAAAATTGTTCCAAGAAAGCCATTTTGTGGATTTAAATTAGCCTCTATCTCAGTACAGGGCCTAATCATAGTAAGAAATACACACATTAGAAACGACAGTGATGTAAGTGCAAACTGAATGGATGAATATGTGCCTTATAAAACACTAGCACAGTATTTTAAAGTGTTGTGAACATATCAGTTCAGAAATTTAATGGTAGCAAAATCTAAATAAATACCTGTCGCTCTCCCTCTCTTCTCAGATGGGATAGTTTATCCACGTGTATCCCTAGTTCGGGCATTTCTGGTCAAGGGAGAAATTAGTTCAGTTCTGGATAGTTCATGTGACTGAATTCTTGTAACTACCTGGTGTGAATGTAGTCAGGTGGTGTGAGGTCTTCCTCTTCATTGTAAAAAAAAATTAGAACTTTGTTGTTGTTTCTTTAACTCTCTTTCTCTACTTTAGTAAAAATTACATCTTTCTCTACTTTAGTGTAATTTTTTACAGTGTAGAGTTGAATTTTCAGCATCAAAAGTCGACAAAGCAGTTTTATATATAGTTTCCCGTTTTCTCTCTTTTAATTATTTATTTTCTTTTCTTTTATTATCATTATTTATTGTACTTATTACACCATGCTGCCAGCCTCAATTTTTGTTACTGACTTGTTTATATGCTTAATTTGTAAAATGAACGCACATCGCATATTGTTAATGCACATCATATACTGTGTTGTGTAATATGAAAACTGTCACAAAAATCTGATAAATAAATCTTTAACGTGTTGAAGAAAGGAAAAAATATATTAAAAAGTCGACAAAGCAGAGATCAACATCCTATAGTACAATTGACAACTATGAAATGTTTTCTTTACCGTTTTGTAGATGCGCTAATATTTTCAAAAATGTTTGAGGTTTACCTTTATATAAACTGTTTGTATTGACCATATGTCGAATAATAGCCAAATAGCCAAAAATAATAAAAATAAAAATTATAAAAATAATGTTTTGAATCTGTTGAGATGCAGGATGATTTAGAGCAGAGAACGTATCTAGTGTCATGAAGCACGGTAAAACAAGAGTGTTACAGTCATTGATTGTTGTCCCACTGTGCTGGAATGCTCAGTGAGTGTTTCATGTGTTATATTCATTGCATCGATCTGCAGAACATCACTAATATTCTGTCATGGCCGAGTAGGTTTAATGAGAACAGATTGAGCGCTTTTATCTGTGCCTTGTAACTGAATCATTTCCAGTGAATGTGCCACTATCCACTCCTTCACTTCCTCTGTCAGTTTGTTACTGAGCGAATTCGGAAACGAGACAGATGGTATTCATAAATGACCGTCTACCTGGCACATTTTACAACAACAAACTTCCTAGCGACGCAGATTTCATTATTTCATATACAAATCATGCTAAAAGGATGGCTTGTTTATTGGTTTTCTGGCTTAATTGAAAATCTGTATGTGTTAATTTTCTATTTGTCTTCTGCGTGGGCTTTGTGTTGTTGTCTCGGGCGTTATTATGTTTCATTTAGTCTCATTTGGAGTGTCAGGTCTCTGATGCTTCTCTCTGTTTTCGTATTTTTAGGTAGGGGATCAGATTTTGGAAGTGAATGGACGTAACTTCCGGAGCATCTGTCATGATGAGGCCGTTCAGATCTTGAAAAATTCACGCCACATGCTGATGACCATAAAGGACGTGGGCCGACTGCCTCATGCTCGCACTGTGGTGGATGAGACCAAATGGATCCCCAGCGCGCAGATCGCTGAGAGCTCAGCCAACAGCAACAGCCAGAGGTGAAGCTTCAGTACACTTTTTTTTATTAGACAGTTTTCTTTTTTCTTTCAGAGCTGAGGAGTTTTAACTGAGCTCTCTGATATGATTCATTTAACCCACATAACACATTCAAGTCTGTTTTGACCCAAAAGAGATATATAAAAATTCACAGACATGAATAGTTTTTAGTAATGTAATGAAACCTTACAAATGGGGATGCACCGATACCAGTATCTTATATAGGGCTGATAATTGGTTAAAATACTATATATATATATATATATATATATACATATAGGTTAAAATACTATATATGTATAATACATGAAATGCCGATACCACAGACTGATACCACTCAACATTAATGCACTATGTGGATGTGATTTGTTGTCCTACCTGACTTCAATGTCTTAATGTATTAATTAATGTATCATAATAGCTTAGTCCAGGGGTGGGCAAACTTTGTCCTGGAGGGCCTATGCCCTGCACAGTTTAGCTCCAACTCTAATTAAACACACTTTCCTATAGATTTCTAGTGATCTTGAAGACACTGATTAGTTTGTTCAGGTGTGTTTGACTAGTGTTGGAACAAAACTCTGCAGGGACACCGGCCCTCGAGGATCAAGTTTGCCCATCCCTGGCTTAGTCCTTATATACAATCATTTATAAAATACATTATTAACAAATCTATAGGCTACTAAAGAATAAACCGAATATACAGTATGATCCTTATTATCACAGCGTAACAAGTTAATGCTCATTTTATATACAAACTATATATATATATATATATATATATATATATATATATATATATATATATATATATATATGGAACATTGTAAGTAAAAAAAATCTAAACTATTGTATAGTAGACTACAAGCTAAATAAAAGCACCTTGTCAGAGCTGAGCATGACTGCAGTCACCACACGTGTCTGTTACCAGCTTCTGTAAAGATCAAATAATCTATACATGACAGAGAACACAATCTCAATAAACACTTGATGCTTGCTGTCAACTAAGCCAGTGGTCCTCAACCACTGGCCCGCGGACCGGTACTGCTCAGTGGATCAATTGGTACCGGGCCATTAATTATTTTAATTTAATTTATTCGAGTCTGAACAATGTTTTATTTTTAAAGGCTTTTATTTTGAAAAATGACCTTATTCTCTCACTTATGTCTCAGTTACTTGAGTGCCCAAATGTAACCCACATTAACACAGTAACGCTAATTAACAGACGTCTTTGGAAAGTTTCTTTGCTAAGGGGAAATGGCCCTGTGAAGGACCCGCAAACTGCCATTGAATGGATCCGCAACCCATTTATAAACAAATCAGGTAAATCCAGCATGTCTGTGTAAGAAGATCAACTGGAGATTGCAAATGACGGTGGCCTTTCAGGGTCTTTTCTAGTTCACGCAAGTTCGTTATGTCCAGTGAAGGTGCACACACCTCACGAAACGGACAAGGCTTTTACACTTGACACTCTTGCGAAGGCTTGACACGCTTGCACCTTCCAGATGCACTGAGTTAAATGAATGCCACAAACACACCGCAATCAGCTTTACCTTATTCCATAAAAGGTGGAGCTGATCGTGGTGTGCTTGTGGTATTCAAATATGCATATATCGGTAGACTAATTATCTCATACAAAAGCGTAACACCCAAACACTACCCCCCACACACACACCCCCACCCCCCGGTCTGCGATAAAATTTGAAAGGCGCAGACCGTTCTGTGGTTATAAAAAGGTTGAGGACCACTGAACTAGGCTACATTATTTAAGGGCATTCGTTATGACATTTGTTATCTATTTTAAATGTATGTTTTCCTGCCAGTTTGATGCACGCAAACTAAATTGTGGCTAATTTTACTTACAGTATTAAACACATCCTCACCTGAACTCACTGCGAGCCAGTTTGATGCACGCAAACTAAATAGTGTTCTAATTTTACTTACAGTATTAAACACATCCTCACCTGAACTCACTGCGAGGGAGATAGAGAAAATGAAGGCTCATCAGCACTGAGAAAAAATCAGAAGCTTAATTTTTAAAATAATGACATATTAATAATATAGCAAATAGACCTACAGTATAGGACAGATGTTTGTGATACACTAATTTAAAGTAGCACATTAATTAAATTCTATTTTCTATGAATCCATTCACCCGCACCGATGTGTAAGATGGGCTTGAACAAAAACATACACTTCATATATTATCGTATATACAATTTATTATGTATTGTAATTCTAATGTATGTTCTAATGTATGTTCTGTTGGTCAGTTATGTACAAAATAAACAATAGGAATGAATAACAGAGGTGAAGTGCTTCAAAACATGTCCACTATATATGTTCACCTTAGAATTATAAGGTTCTATCTGCGTTCTTAAGGATTTTGAGATATTGACAAAAAACATCCCATAATGTAAATAAGTTGTCATTTAATAAGAATATGTCAATGACTCAATTTTGACGAAAAATGTGACGATATGTTTCAGCACCAATACACAAACTGGTTTGTTAAATAACATAATAAAATAAATATAATTAAAGCAAAAATATTCATCAATTCAGAGAAGCCTATATTAAACTGTTGGTAACACTTTATTTTGATGGTCCATTTGAGTATTAGTAGACTGTCCGCCTAATATCTGTTGAGACTGCTTCTTCAACAGACATTTAACTAATTATAAGAAGACTATAACAGCGGCCAAAACTAACCAAAAGTCAGGACTATATACATGACATGATTAACTAAATGACATACAGGAGTGAGAGCCCAGTTGGAACTAATGAACATTGAAAAAAGGCAGGAAAACAGAACAAAGGAATCACTTGATGAAAACAACAGCACATGGAACAACATGACATGGGGAAACTCAGAACCTGATAGACACACAATGAAGAATATTGAGCTGGACAAGTAATGTGGATACTCTACACCAGATACTGGTTTTGGGGGAAATAAAATAGAAAATACTTGCTTATATTATCTCTGGATTTTCGATAAAGTCTCAGAGTGTGCTAGATCTGAAAGTCCTTCAAACACTAGATGAGTTGTTTTGCTCAGAAATGATGTGGCTTTCTATAAAGAACCATTTTTAAACATTGTTGTTTTTCTGTCCTATATTCTAAAAACCTTTGAATAGCTTAGATCTGAGCTGTTTTCTTCTCAGAAATGCTGTGGAGCACTGTAGGAATAGAAAAAAAAGGTTTCAATTTACGATTGCATGCTAGGAGGTGAAATAACAGTATGAGTGTTTCCTTCCTTCCTCCTGCATACTGAAATTTACTTTAAGTGTCATTCATTTTAATTGGTGATTATGAAATAAAATAATCTGAGCCGACAGCGTTCAATGATCCTTTACCTAATGTAATTTTAGACAATTATGTGGAAATTAATTCAATTCTTTCCATTACAATAATAGCTGCACTTAGGTGATTTTTCAGCTTTCCTCTTAAATTTAGATGTGGTCTTGCTGCTTTACTTGATTATACTCAGGTCAGTGAGTCCAGTCATACAGATGGTGGGTCTGAAAGAGTCTCTATATATAGCAGTAAGATGATTTTAAAGCTAGATGTAGACACTATTGTTAGGTGATGTGCTTTAGGCAGTGACGGTTGAGATGTACGTATGACATGCTGGTGGGTTGACAGTAGACGATGACTCACAGTAGAATGTCGCCTCTCTTGCTCTCTCAACGGCTTAAATGGAAATGGGCTGATTGGGATCTCTGGAGGGTGTGCTCAATTCTAAAGTGCTCCACTGGAAATCCGGCAGGATGCCTTTTAGTTCTGTACTTTACTAGTCTTGAGTTCTAAGATCTGGGAAAAACTGCTTTTTGATTATTGTTGTAAGATTCCATTCTATCTGCCCAACGATGGAATCCGATGAATGGTTGAAGGTTAAATGCGTGTAAGCCTTTCCTAGCCGGGGTTCATACAGTCATGGAAAACCTGGAAAAGTCATGGAAATTTAACATGGCATTTTCCAGGCCTGGAAAAGTTTTGGAAAAACAGAAAAACCACAAGGTTTTGGAGAAGTCATGGAAATAACATTTACATTAGTCGTTTAGCAGACGTTTTTGTCCAAAGTGTCTTAAGCTGTGGTTACACTAAAGCTTGTGCTTGCAAAAATCTGTCGCACGGTGCTGCGAAAAAGGGTGGTTTTAAACAATATAATTAGACATTCATTTCGTATTTTAGATGGTCTTATATTGGTCTAACACAGGGGTGGCCAGCCCTGTTCCTGGAGAGCCACCGTCCCGCAGATTTCAGTTGCAACCCATATCAAACACACCTGCCTGTAAATATCACGTGGTGTTCAGGTCCTAATTAATTGGTTCAGGTGTGTGTCATTTGGGTAGCAACTGAAATGGCTCTCCAGGAAATGGGTTGACCACCCATTGACATTAACACAATACACATAGCTAGGTATATATATATATATATATATATATATATATATATATATATATATATATATATAATAATTAGTGCTGTCAAACGAATTATCGCATTCAAAAAAAAATTTGTACACATGATAATATATACATATTGAATGAATGTTTATTACATCCCTAGATTGAGAAAATCTAGATATCCTTGAGCTGTACTTTCCTGTTCATGCTCACATTTATTGACATTATTTGCTGTTTTGATTCATCTACATGTAGATGTCTTTGATTTGTGTTGTTCATAATTGCATGAGTTTTGTCTAAATGCTCATCTGCTTGTTTAGATTCAGATGGCAACATTCACACTTATTCAAATGAACTGCAAAGAGTTCATTTTAATCAAATCAAACATACCAGCTGTGAGTCTTGAATAAAGTCACCACTCATTTTGTGATAAGAAAATGCTATTTATAACACCCCCAAATGAATGACTCATTTACTTTAAAAAATCAGAAGTAGGTATTACAGAGAGTCTTGTAAATATAGAAGTTGGTTAGTTTAAGCATTAATAATTTCCTTCATTAAATTATTCTCTTTCTCTCTTTACAGTATTCTGTCTGTTGATGTCGGAACAGGAAGTTTAGGGAAGGTAAGGTACAAAATGCACAAATCACAAACCTGATTTTTTTTAAAAATATGATTGACTTTGTAAATTTTATTATAATGTCTAGAATTAATTTTGTCTTTTAATATACCCATTCAAAGCCATTTTATGGGTTTATTTCCAAATGATGAGCCTATTTTACACAGCTATCTGACATACATACTCTTTCTTTGCAATGAACCTATAGATCAAAGCAATCATTATTTGTGTAAGACAATCTCAGTCCAAACACAGTCACTCTGATTACACCAAATGATGTGTTGTGGAAAAAAAGATTCTGGTTTGCAAAATATTTTCTGAAATTCCAAGTCAAAGTTCTCATAAAATAACAAATTCTGAGATCTCCAAAGTCTTTAGGAAAAGTAGATTATTGTTACAGCATCAGTAACAACAGAGACTGGTCTTTCGAGTGTCTTGAGTATAGGCTAGCTCACAGTTTAAATACACTTCTTTGTCTTATCACTTCACCCAAATTTACACATTAACACACCTCCATTAGCTTCTCCACTAATGGTATTCTAAAAATCCCAGGTGCATCCTAGCTAGTTGAGTAATTTCTTTACCACCAACAGAATCTTAGTTTTTTAGGAGTCCTCCCCATGACCATTTAAGGTCTTTCCTTCCTACTTCAACTGTGACAAAACAATGCTCAGCAACTCATCTTGTTCACTGTAGCTTGAGCTGTCAACTGTAAGCTTCAGCTGAAGTTCACCGGCAGTTTTAGGGTCATCATATTTTTGAAGTCATTGCAACTAAGCGTGGGCGCATGTCTGAGTTCACAGATGTGTTTGGTCATGAGTCGCACATGAAACTGATTGCAAGTGCCCTTATGATCCTACTTCCATACATCTACTCTCTTTGTGGTATTCAATAGATATACATAATAATAATAATAAAATCACTCAAATAAGCATATAAATGAGAGTAATAAATTCCTCAGAAATACATCAAAACAATGAATTCATCAAAACATAATGAATTCCTTATTAGATGTAGTCAAAAAAAACAACAACTTTTTAACTTGAGTTTGTAAATTATACATTACATAATTTTGTATGCATGACAATGATTTGTATTTACACGTACATGTAAAAACTGTCAAAAATTCTGTATTACATATACCAGAGACATAGCTGGTACTGTAGATATATACACCAGATATCACATACAGACCCTGATCATGCATCAATTGCGCCTCCACATTTGTACAGTGCTTCCAGGACATGATGATTGTGAGGGCGCAGGTAAGACGCTATTTTTTAGGTGACTCAAATGCATCACGTGCACTGCGTGTATGCAACGTCTATAAGTCCTATAAAACCATTAATTGCAAACTGAAATAAATATTATTTGATTATATGGTTTGGAATTGGATGTTTTATGAGATTATTTGCATTTTTTGCATTTATTTTGTCTTTAAATAAAGAATTTTGCAGGATCACCAAAACTAGGAGGTCTGACATACCACACACTACATACGCACATGATGCTGCCATTTTCAGAGATTTCCATATTGAGGTTTACAAACTAACAATAACTGTAGCATTTTCAACAAAATGTGTTTTCAGTCCCCAAAACACTGTTGTCTAATAAACAACAGGAAAAACACACTTACAATGTAATATGAAAGTGTGTTTGAGCATTGAGGTTATCGCTGTTGTGTAAACCCATCACCACGCATGCATTGTCTTTGGAGCTTTTATCTGAAAGTGGTTAAAGGGTTGTCTTTGCACAGCTATAAGGCTGTGATCTCTGCTTAACTCGCACACATCACTCTATTACTGAGTCCAAAAGAGAGCTTAGAGCAGACAGACATCAAACTGCTGTGATTGTGTGAGGCGTCTGTCTCATCTGCTGAAGTCCGGAAGAAACACTTGTATCCCGCTGGGCAAATCAAAGCTCTCTTTGGGTTTGAGTGGCCTTTCCTGAGCTGTGGAGAGCACATGATGTTTATCACCATGGATGGAGTGATACTTTATCCACGGTGACTAAATAATGGTTTGAGAAATATGACAGGGAAATTGCTGAATTTTAAGGGTTTTTATGTAAGATTGTCACTTATTTAGTTCAATCTTTCAAAATGAGCTTTTGAAGTGAATGGCTTCCTGTACTTGAAATGATTGTGGCATTTTATGACAGGATCTTGTAACACTCTCCTGTTGCTTTTCCCATCGCGCACATTCCGAGGCCGTTGGCACAAGTGCAAGAATTGAGACTCATTTTTGTTCAATGTGACCTACAGGATTGACAAGGATCTTTACTGAAGGAGTGTTATAAGGGACGAGCCATTATCTTTAGCAGAGGAATAGATGTGCCATTCAAGAAATGTGGAAATAACGCTGCACTTGCTTATCACTCACTCACTGTGTTTAACTAAGAAGTAGCATATCTTTACGGTCATGTTAAGCTTGTAGCTATATATAGTGTGTATTTTGAAATGCTATGTTGGAAGGTTTTGGATTCTAAAATGTTGATTCTGTACGTTTTAGCAGTATTGCCATGACTATGTTCAATGTTTTAGTATAAATCTAAATCTTTAGTAAATAAACTTTTTGCACAATTCCCAGCTGTAAAGTATTATGCATACAAATAAAAACAGTTACAATTACTTTAAGTTATTAGTCAAATTAAATAACAAATCTGAGTTTGCTAAAAGAAAAAGTCAGAATTAATGATAAATGTTGCATGTATTATGTGAAACACAAAAGATGTTTGAACGACACACACTCACCGGCCACTGTATTAAGTACTCCTTACTAGTACCGGGTTCGATCCTCTTTTTTTCTTCAGATCTGCCTTAATCCTTTGTGGCATAGATTCAATTAGGCACTGGACATATTCCTCAGAAATGTTGGTCTACATTGACATGATAGCACATCCATTACGCAAATTTTCCATTCCACCACATCCCAAAGGTGCAATTGGCAAGAAACCAAGACACCAATCTGAGATAATTTACGCTTTATGACATGGCACATTATTCTGCTGGAAGTAACCATCAGAAGATGGATACACTGTGTTCATAAAGGGATGGACATGGTCAGCAACAATACTCGGATGTGGCATTGACTGGTACAAATTGGTACTAATGCACCCAAAATGTGCCAAGAAAATATCCTACACACCATTACACAACCACCAGCCTAAACCGTTGATACAAGGCAGGATGGATCTATGATTTCATGTTGTTGATGCCAAATTCTGACACCCAGTGTGATCTTCTGTTGCTGTAGCCCTTCCGCCTCAGGGTTGGATGTATTGTGCATTCAGAGATGCTCTTCTGCATGCCTCGGTTGTAACGATGGTTATTTGAGTTACAGTTGCTTTCAGCTCAAGCCAGTCTGGCTATTCTCCTCTGACCTTTGGCATCAACAAGGCATTTGCGCCCTCAAAACTGCCACTGACTGGATATTTTCTCTTTTTCAGACCATTCTCTGTAAAGCCTAGAGATTGTTGTGCATGAAAATCCCAGGTAGATCAGCAGTTTCTGAAATACTCAGACCAGCCCGTCTGGCACCAACAACAATGCCATGTTCAAAGTCACTTAAATCACCGTTCTTCTCCCTTCTGATGCCTGATTTGACCTGCAGCAGATTGTCTTGAGCATGTCTACATGCCTAAATGCATAGAGTTGCTGCCATGTGACTGGCTGATTAGAAACAATGCATTAAGGTGACATTGAATAATAAAAAAAAAGCGTGTTTACTTAAACGAAAACATGAAGCATTTTTTAAAATGTCTGTGTGTATTTATGTGCTATAATTGGCCCATTTTAATTTTGTGCCAGTTTGTACGAAACTGGCTAGTTCTGTACATGTTTCCACCTCCAAGCAAATGATAGACTCCAGGCTACTCACACCTCTTTTGTAAAGAGATAGGAAAGTGGTTAACAATGGCCTCTTTTTCTGCATTTGAGCTATAAAGCAAAATTTTTAAAGCAATCCAACAGTTTCCTGTGCACAAACTTATGTTTAGAATCAGATCATCTTTCTCTCATGTGCAGAGCTGTGTTTTATTTTATTTTTTTCATATATGCTGTAAATGTTTGTTTGAATACATTTTACCTTGATAAGGGTGGACTGTAATGTCATTATAATGTCATTATAATGTGGAGACAACTTTAAATACTTCTTTATATCAGTCAAACAGACAAAATGTCAGTAGAAACCACAAGGGCTGGCAGAGAACAGTGTGTTTGGTTTAGCTCTTCAATGGATCGGTACCACATCCACTCCTGATTCAGCCCCAGGGAGGGCCAGGGAAGCAGCAGCTCATTAGCATTTAAAGAGACATGAAGCTGCCACAGCTCACAGTGGACTGAGGTGTTTTTGACATGATAAAAGAAACCACTTAGAAATTGAACCAAAGTAAGATGTAGACTTTTTATTTACTTGTGTAAAAGTTGATGTCACTTTTAACGTGTGATATAAATGATTGTTTTCAGTAGCATTTCATGAAGACAGGTAGGCTGTGGTGTTTGGAATGCAGAGGCTCTATTTATCTATGTATTTATTTAAACATGAGTTTGTTGAGGTCAGAATATTTTACTGTAATATTATTAATCCTAAATATCATTAATAAGCCACAGTGTATAACATCAAAAAAGTGCAATGCTGGGGTGTCAAGAGGAGGAGAGAGAACAAAATCTCAAGTGTCTGTTCTAACCACTAAACCATTGCTCTGGCTCATATTCAATTCATTAACTATGTAAATGAATAAATTGCTTTTTTAATGTTGCATGGCAAACAGTTTATAAACTCACAATGAATTTTCAGATAAATCTAGATTAAAAGCTTCTCTCAAATTAAGGCATTGATTTTTCTAGAGCAGCGCCTGTGTATCCTCTCACAGTAATCAGCTAGTTCATAATTGTGGATTGAAGACGGGGCATAGTAATGCATCGTTATTCAGATGATTACAGTCATAACTGCTTAATGCTTATACAATTGCATTTGAATGAGGACAGGGAGATGGATTCAACAGTT